GAGTGCTCAAAATATCGTTTTTGTGCTAATGTGAGATGTACACCTAGTGCAGCTTTAGGTTTCCAAGTAAAGCACGATATTACTGTCTTACTGAAGTAGTTCTGATAATTCGCTGTGAACCCACTATTTCCTAAGAATGTGTTGATTAATGTAGACTGACATTGTTCTAATCCCTTCGTTTAATAATAAAGAATGTAGTGTAGCGCACAGACCTTATAATCATTGTGAAATTGCTGTTTATTTTGCTGTACCGGCAGTTATCGGGTTAATGCGGGAGAGACGAGCGAGTTAAGCCTGTGTTATACTTTCAGCATGAGCAATCCGGACGCGTACACTGACAGCGCGGTTGCGGACTACTTGTATTTATACTACCGAAAGCCTCAGTTAGTCACGTTAGCACTCGGCTAACGTATCCACCATTATTGTTTTAAGTGTTCACAGTTTAGCAGCTAAACTTTAGCTGTGGGCACGATTCGCTTGCATAAGTGTTTTTGTATTTTATGTCATCATTATAAGAACGGATTGGAGCACTATACTATTGCTTTATGTAAAGGTGCTTTGTCAATGGTAGCGCTCGCTAACTTGCTCAAGGAATCCTCTGTGTCAATCACAACAGGCTTGGCCAGCTGACCAATCAGAGCAGAGTAGGCTTATGGAAGGGAGGGGTTTGCTCCGAACTTGCTTGCAACGAATCGTTTAGAAAACATTGGCAAATGACTAATATTAAATGTATATTCTGAGAAAATTAATGTTTTCTGACCTTCTTATGGAAGGGAGGGGTTTGCTCCAAACTTGCTTGCAACGAATCGTTTAGAAAACATTGGCAAATGACTAATATTAAATGTATATTCTGAGAAAATTAATGTTTTCTGACCTTCGATGCATTTAAACATGTTGTAGGGGACTCCAACACGATATTAGGAAACTTTAAAATACCATATGACCTGCTTTTTAAGCTTTAAGCTAATGCATTAACGTAATGGCTTGCCTTGGCGCTTTGGCAGATGATGCGTGTGCATCCTCAGCGCAAAAACTTTCAGTGCTACTGCTGATTACCAAAATCATTTTTTAGCTTTCTGTATTGGTTAATCCTCCAATATGTGTAAGCTCTTTAGTAACAGTAGTAGGCTCTAATGCTATAATATAATTATTGCTGTTATCTATGAAAGAAAGGCAGAGAGCTTTATAAGTTTGTTATTTTATTCGTCTTTATCATCTTTATTATTTTAATGCAGAGATTTAAACTATAATTATTGCTGTTATCTATGAAAGAAAGGCAGAGCTTTATAGTGTTTTTTTTAGATACCCAATTACAGTCAGAAAGTACATAAACAATGCCAGCAAGAATGCAAGCGGTTATGAAGGGCATAGGAGGCCCTTTTTTATGTGAATAAATACTAATTTAGTTGTTTAAGTTTATTTGCCCAATAAATGACAATAACATTTTTTGATTTAAACAATTTGAAAGATTCCTAAAATTCCTAAAATGTGTTTTGTCTTTATTATGGCAAGTGGTCAAATAAATTGTTAAGTACTGTATGTTTTCAGAGCATTCAGTTGGCACGTTTGTTTGAAGGACATTGGGCAGAATGTGGAAGTGTTTTTTGTCAATAAAATGAAAAAATAAAATTGGGGTTTTTATCCGATTAATCGAAGAAGAAAAAAAAAAAACGTTTTTAAGCTTTAAGCTAATGCATTAACGTAATGGCTTGCCTTGGCGCTTTGGCAGATGATGCGTGTGCATCCTCAGCGCAAAAACTTTCAGTTTACGGTCATATCCTTATGCATTAATATTAATGTCACAAATTCACACGAGCATTTCCATTTTTGCATAAATGCACGCGTGTCAGACAGACGGAAAAGAGAGAATTAATAATCAACGCAAAAACATTCATTGTGCTGAAATATCTGTTGTTAAAAGTTAGATCGAGGTTTAAAGGTCAACATGCATTGCGAGTATTTTATGAGAGTAGGAACTTTAAGGGGATAACAGCGTGTAATTGTCTGAATATAAATATCAGATGCTTCATAACCGCCTATTACAGGATAAAGAAATGACAGGAAGATGTGACTGTGATCAAAGTGAATGTGTTCCTGCAGAACATTACTCTTGCCTATTGGTTACAACTGAGTTTGTGATTTTATTCATCTTTATTATTTTAATTTTTAATGCAGAGATTTAAACTATATACATATATAACTATATACTAGTGCTGGGCGGTATGACCGGTTTCACGGTACATGACGGTATTTTTTTTTTTCATGCATGACCGGGTGTTAACCATATTTTCTACTGATTGAGAGAGGAAATACTGCAGTATATTGACTTAGAATGCCCTATTTTACTGTCATGATGAGTGAATATTGTCAAAAAATACCACACTAAATAGTGACTAAACACGACCCCTTTTAATACATGTCTAAAATGTGTTTTGTCTTTATTATGGCAAGTGGTCAAATAAATTGTTAAGTACTGTATGTTTTCAGAGCATTCAGTTGGCACGTTTGTTTGAAGGACATTGGGCAGAATGTGGAAGTGTTTTTTGTCAATAAAATGTAAAAATATATTTTTATCCGATTAATCGGAAAAAAAAATAAAAAATAATAATAATCGACCAACTACTCGATTATCAAAATAATCGTTAGTTGCAGCCCTAATTCCCTCCAATGTACTAGATGAGTTGTTAATTGAATGGGAATCGTTAAAAATCTGAACCCAAATCATCAGTTTTCTTTTCTTATATTCCCAATCCTGCTGATGCAGGGCTCCCAAAATTTCAAAATCCCTGGTAGCCCTTCAGGCAGGTACTCTTCAGATTTTGGTAGCCCGAAAATTAATTTAACTAGCCCAAATAAAAAAAAACAACTTTTTTTTAATATAGAAAATCAGATAGGAGTTTAAATGTCAATCAAAAAATATTTTCAATACACAAATATGAAGGAAGGAATTTTATTTCACTATTTACAGGGTATCTGCAGAATTTTTTAAAAAGAAATTTATGGCGATTTATGACCCATTTTAAGAGCTGCACAAGTAAAATGAACACACATGAGTTGGGTTGGACAATGTCTATGGTAACATACAGTATTGAGCCATAAAATTACATGATTTACAGTTCAGATACAGGTTTTCACAAAAACTAAAATCTTATACAACAGCATTTCAGCCTTTAGACCATTTTTATGAAAAGGGATAAATCGGGCATATAAATTATGTCAATTTAAAACATATAAATATTACCGTCTTATTTGTTTAGATTTTTAGAAGGCACATTAACTTCGTTCTCATTTACAACTGTGTTTGCTGCGTAAAAACGAGTTGATATTTGCATTGATCTGACCATAATCACAAAGACAGGCTTATTGGAAATGCAAATTCATTCTGCCACGAGGTGGCGCTTTAGGAGCTCTGAAATATTGCGGTTTCCCCGGTAACGGCTGTTCACAAAGCAGCTCCGCGCTCATAAACGCTGTTTTATCAGGAATTATAGGTCAAATGAAATTAAAATGCCAACGACACGTTTCTGAGGACAGTCGGTTGCCTTCAGATACATTCAAATAAAGACACCCGCGCCTTGACGTGAAATGTGCAGTGCTCATATTTATTCAATGACATCATTGCCTTTTGAAGTTTAATCCAGCCGTATCGAAACTCTTGTCTTTCCATCCCCAACTGTAAGTCCTCTTGAAATTATAATTAAGACATTTCTTATACCATTTAACGTATTTAAAACTTTTTATGGCAAGCGATTTTGCGAGCCCTATGGTGAGAGCTGAATTTAGCACCTACATTTAAAAAATAATAGATTAAGGTAAAGTGCAAGAGTTTGCTCCTAACTTTACTAGTGTTATTTATTCCACCCATAGTTTACTAATCTGTTCATTGTGGCATCTTGGATCTTTTTAAACGTAATAAAGCTGTGACTGTTTTACAAGCACTAAACAGCAGGATTTGGGCAGGTTCGCCAAGGGTCCATAAATGTCGCATAACGCAGTATTACAAGTATTACAGCCTATATTAAAGGAGTCATATGATGCTGCTAAAAAGAGCATTATTTGGTGTATTTGGTGTAATGAAATGTGTTTATGCGGTTTAAGGTTCAAAAAACATTATTTTCCACATACTCAAATCTTCCCACATTGTTATGTAGACATATGGGGGCGTGTTAGAACGAGCCATTTTAGGTAGACGTGGTTGACTTAACTTTTATAAAGAATATCTCTTTGGATTTGAGACTTTAGTCTTTGCAACTTTACAGATCTTCTTTATGCACCAAGAGCTTGTAACACTCCAAAGAGAAAAGAAAAATTTAAATCGCATCATATGACCCCTTTAAGAAAAAACACACGACTTTAAAGAAATTATCATTGTTAGATATCAAATTATTAGTTTTTCATTTTTGCCAACATTTTACTAAGTTCTTTACACCCAACATGAACACTAATGTTTTTAAACAATACCTCTTAATCAAAATGAAATAATGCCCTCGCGCACATACCCACCTTTCCTCTTTGTTTGGGCATAATGGTTCAATCCTGCTGATAAACTAACTGGCTGAACGCTGCGATAAACGTTAACCATCCAGACCAGAGCTAGGCGTTTGTAGAAAGACTTTGTCATGTGTATTGCTTAAGGTAGTAATGGTCGATGACTGCGTGTGCGTGTGTTCACACTAAACCATGGGAGTTATGAAGCTCTGTGTCACCTAGTCTGTATTAGCGGCCGCTTTCAGCCGAGCTAGCCGAGCTCAAAACAGCTATTCATCCAAACTGCATAATTAACTACAGCCCAAACCCACTACTACACCATCCATCAAGAAACAACCTCATACATTCAAATCATTACTCACAACAGTTTAAGGGGGAATTAAATTAACGGACTGTCGAAATTCAAATACCCACTAAATTAGCTGGTTAGCTGAGATTAAACAACCCCCCATTCCCCTCCTCAATGTCAAAACAACCCGACGTTAAATGGCGAGAATCAAGCATTTTACCACCTGGAGTCAGCCTGTGTTCTCCACCCATAGACTGGGGCGACATCGAGTGTGACGGGCTCTCTGTTGACGGGCGAAGACTGCACCTCTGCGGGGAAGGAGTAGTCGGAGTCCCCGGTAGAGGATTGCACCTCCTCCGCTTGGGGGACTGCGGGCTGAGAAGGGCCTCAAACTCCATAGATCGCTTCAATGTCGCGCCACAAGCCATGATCGCTGATTTAATAAGACAATAGACAAAACCAACGGTAAAACAGCACCTTTTCGATATTAAAATGCGTCGAATACTCTTTCCAAATCGACTTTCTCGGGGTTTTATTGCGCTTCGCAGGATCTCGGAAACTCCCCCTCTGACCACACACCGGTTTAATCACCAAGTGCCAGATTTGTAGCAAAAATGCTAAAACTACACAGCCGAGGACTGTACCATTCGCAGAGGGGGGGTTCAGATTATACACAGGTTTGTTTTTCACCCAGTAATTTTAGACATTAAATCATATTTAATTTGTTACTAAGCAACAAAAACATACACGCGATACAAAGTATAGTGCATAAATATAAAACATATATTAAAATATCTTTACTTTTTTAGTAAATCTACTACAGTAGTAATCGTCCCAACCTATGATAATAGTTCTATGTAGCCTATCGATCCAAATAATGAAAGTGATAGTTATACTTACTCAGGTTTATGCTTGCCATTGTTTAACTTTTCCTGTATAAACAGGCCTCTTGCACCAACGTTTATGTGCAATAACTTGTTTACTATAAATTAACATAATATTAACAATAAGTTCCATATACGATCATTATCTACCTTTTGTATATTTCTAATTTAAACAAACTTTACATGCACACTGAACTCTTTCAATTTACCTAAACTCCTTGTGGATCAGTAGCCTATTTTATAACTCTTAGAAACAAAACTTTCAATTTGAGAAGCTTTGATCTCAGATGCCCACTCCTCCAACAGCTTCATCCTGATTGGTGCCTTACAGTCTTATGACTCTGATCAACATTTATTGAGTGCAATAGTTTATTTAGCAAATGGCCATTTTTCTGAAGGATTTGCATGTTGGTTACTGTTAGCTTTCAAAGCAGTCTTTCAACTCACAAGGAATCATTTCCTTACTGTCTCTTCACATTTAAACCACCTACATGTTCTGTAGAGACACACAGTGTGGGGTCATTTCACACTTTTGACTCCTTATGAATATCACACTTATTCGCATACCAACATTTGTCAATTTTGACCCAATCCAATGAAAGTACCATAAAAAGTAAAACATGAAAAATAGCACATAATTTTGTAGGCCAGATTGATAAATAGATAAGTTGATATATTAATACAATTTTCATAAATATGTCTAAAACAATATAGAGCTCCTCAAACAATGCTGTTTAAATAAATTGAAGGTTGACATCTAGAAAATGTTTTTATTGACGTATTAGACAATTAATTAGTCAGAGTAAAGTAAGTATGCATTTCTTAAACAATGTAGCAGTACATTTTTATAGTCATGACATACATTATTTTATATAGTACTTGTTCTAAATACAATAATGCAGCAGAACTCCTTCAAATTGAAGTTAATATAAGATATACGAAATTAACATAACAATTACATAGCATTTTGCATTCATAGCAGACTCTTTCCAACATATAAGAATATACTTAGTCTATCATAACAGTTACTCTTCATAATATAGTAAAACATAGAGCATAATGTACAGCAGTGAAGCAAAATTTTTGTTAGCAGTCATCAATAAAGCTGAAGGTATTTTGTTTCACAGTGTAATCTATATATATTTTGGCGTCTTTTACGCTTGGGTCAAAATGTAGCTGGTGAGTCAGCTGTTCTAAATGTGTGTTTATAGGTTTGATTTCACTACTATAAAAAGGTGCTTAGAGAAACAACATTATACATGGGTAGCTGATCACAATAGCCACATTATGCAGACCTATTGTAAAATGTATATTTTTTAAATATATTTTTAAATAGTTTTTAAAACACATTCCGTTTACAAATATAATAGCTAATATATAGCTAATGTCTTTCTTAAAGTGTAAAATGAAGTCTTCTCAATACATTCTACTCCTAAACATATACAAAATACAATTTATAAAGAGTACATTTCAAGCAGTAAAATTCCATATGTGTGTCTGTGCACGTTAAAATTCTTAAGTTCTCGTTAGTATGCAAACCTTCTTCATTTGATATTTTCATATTTCTCACATTTTTCACTGCTATTTATTTGATATCCTGCAATTTCATATCACAAAACAATGTTTTCTGGAATTGGGAAATGTACAAAAAAAAAATAAATCTATAATATTCATACAATGAATGCTAACCTAAATTATAATCCTGAAGAACTACATTTTGTGAAATATTTAAAATGTATTAAAAGTTGGCAAATTATTAATACGAAAAGGACTTTAAATCATATTTATGTGCTGTTTTACTGCTTGTCTATGCTTTCAGAAATAGTATCTGGGTTACTATCACTAACAGCCTGATCTTTGCTCTTTTTGCTAATCCCAGAACCATTTTCCTTTCTTTGGCCACGAGTGTTTCCCAACGTACGTTCCCTGCATGCCTTGCAACATGCTAACAATGCAAACAGTTCTGCCCTCAGCTCTTTGCAGCGTAGGGCGTATAGAAGCGGGTTTACACATGAGTTGACCAGGCAAAGAGTGCAACAGAAAGCGAACATTCGTTGTTGTTTGTCTGTAAGGGTCACTGTGACATCCACCATCATAAAGGACAGGACAGGCAGCCAACAAACAGCAAGGATTAGGAGAATCAGACTGAAGGTACGTGCAAGCTGAATGTCCATTCGCATTCGAGCCTGTCCTTTCACGCTCTGCCTCCCCGACTTTGGTCCACCCATAGCTGCTTCATGGCGATTTGCTTTCCACAGGATGAGGACATAAGCCACTATGATGAGGAAGAGCACCACAAGTTGTAGGCCCGTCCAGAAGGCCAGGTAGTGATCATCCACATAAGGGAAGAGACGGGAGCACGGAGGATGAAACTTGGTTGCACACCTCCAACCCATCAGAGGAAGAAATGAAATTATAACCGTTGCACACCATAGTAATACAATAGCCAGCTTGGCTCTAGTGCGTGTCAGTAGCACCTTGTAATTGGAAGCCTGGTAGATGCAGAGATAACGGTCCAGCGCTGTCAGCAACAGGCTTCCTACAGAGCCAGTGAAAGCCATTGTGACGCCACCCAGCTTGAACAGATAGATATTAGGGCCGTCGCTCTGACTATAAAGATGGAAATCTAGAAAACTGATGGTGAAGAAACAGCTGGCAAAGGTGTCAGCTAGTGCCAGGCTGCTGATGAACAGATACGATGGCCGTCTGCGCAGAGTGGTGGAGCTTGCAATGATCAACAGGACCAAAATATTCTCCAGGAATGTCACAGGGCCGGCTATCAAGCAGATTGAGCTAATAGCTTTCTTCTCTGATTCGTTCAGGACCATGTAACACTGTAGGCTGTTGCACAAGCTTGCACCTGTAACAGTACGGATCAAAATGATTCAAAATAATCAATTTACTCACCTTTTAGGATGAACAATTAATATACACAGCAAAATCCCCGGAGTTAAATCAACTCTGCTCAGAGTACATACTGTCCCAATCTACAGAGTGTTAAAGTAACACTTGAAGCAGAGTTACCACTGTTGAGGATTATGTGATACGTTTTCATGTCTAAAAGCCTGAGCAGTAGTTGTTCATTGTTAACAGCGGGTTTTCTTTACTAATGCTCACTCATCAATTAATTAATTGCTTAATTATCCCATTAACTTTAACTCGGCTTCAGTGTTACGTTAACACTCTGTAGATTGGGACAATATGTACTCTGAGCAGAGTTGATTTAACTCTGGGGATTTTGCTTCAAATAATTTTATTAATATTTAAAATATGTTCATGTTTTTTAATTAATATTTTAATTACAATTATTTTTTAAATCAATTCAAAAGTTTGGAATCAGTATGGTTTTTAATGTTTTTGAAGTCTCTTATGCTCACAAAGACTGCATGTATTTGCATTTATTTACATTTGTTTCAGAATTCCTTAATTAAACAGCATTTATTTGAAATAGATTTATTTATTTTATGTAAAAGTCTTTACTTTCACTTTTCATCAACGTAGTGCTTTCTTGCTAAATAAAAGAACTAATTTAGTTTTAAATAAAACTTACTGACAAAGGTAGTGTTTGTTGATTTTTATTTTTTATTTTATTTATTTGTTTTCATGTTTAAATGTGAAAACTAGTATATTTGTCACAACAAAACTTGAAAAGACATGTCATGGTCACAGACAGACCATAGAAAATCTTTATGAGAAATAATACCTGTGGTTGTAATGTTTGGTGTACTTTCATTTAAATAAAGCGCAGTGGCAGCTTCTTGATTTTGTTCCAATTCTGTCTCCATTTTCCCCAGGACAGAAATGGTCTGTTAAAAATAAATAAATGACAAATGGTTAAAAAAACAGCAGACACAATTATTCATGTGCCTCATGTGAATACTGCCAATAGAAACATGAAAAAAAGTTTGAACTTGAAGTTCTGAATATGACATGACTAAGAGAGATAAAACACACTCACAAAACCCATTTAAAGTCGAACATGTCTCCAAGCAACATTTTATTAGGCTAATGCACTCTATAAATAAAACTGCATTATTCAGACTACATGGCTTAGATTTGGAAGAGAAGTGATGTTATCCTTAATGTAAAATAATAAGCCTGTCCCACAGGTCTATTCAGGACATTTTTGAATATAAACTACTGGTCACTGTGCCCTAAAGCTGTTAAATAGTTTAGAATGTTAGATAACGCCCCATGCTGGGCAAAAGACGACACGAGCTTATTACAAGAGAAGGATTGACAAATAGTTTGTATTTTCACAATTATCCACTAGAGAAAAAAAAAGAGCATAGAAAAGATTAAGCATAGGAATTTTTTTTGTTCTATAATTACCTTACAAGCATAGTCCAGAAAGCAGACACATTCTTTGATTAAGTATAGAATAAAGACTAATCTGTTTAGTTTGGTAAATAGTTAAATTAAAAAGCCTGCTCTCTATACAGAGGTTATTTTTCACTGTTCCCTCCTTCCACTATCACGTTATTTATCCTTTCCTTACAAGAAGCACTAATATTATTCTTTTTATCCTCCCACATATTCATCACAAGGCATATTAGCTCCATGCCGTCTCAATGTTCTTAAAATTTCTGAAAATATTGGAAAATTTTCAGTTAAAGCTACTTTTCATGTTAGCTCCAACAGAAGGGCTTCCCCTCAGAGTCTTGGTTCCTCCCAATATTCCTTCCTCGTGTATTTTTTCCTAACCATTTTCACCTTTGGTGGCTCACTGGGGGTCAAAAGGCATGATTTTACTTTATGCCTTAAGTTTTCTATTTTCTGTAAAGGTGCTTTAGAACAATGTGTATCGTGCCAATGCCAATATTGTTTTGAACTGAACAAAATAAGACAAAGGTCTTTACAAAACATAGTTTTGCTTTCAGAAGCTACTGTTATTTGAAAACTTAAACACCGAAAAAACATACTGTATGCAATAAAAATGTGTCACAAAAACGTAATCTGGCTAAAGCTCTTTCACACTCACAAGTGAAATGTAGGAAGTTCTTAAAAACATATTTGTCATTTAATAACACACTATGACATATGTCTTACAAATAAAGACAAGAAAAAAACTGCTGTTCATTAGTACCCATTAGAGTTGTTTAATTTCACACAGGATTTTTGCATAGCCTACACATAGATCAAATTAATTGGTTCTTACCTTCGTGTTTTGCTGTTGGTAAAAATTGTCTGCTGTTGGCAGATATGGTCTTTCACAAATCTCAAACCTCTGATTTCAACACAAGAGCATACACCACACCCCCAGTGAGGGAAAGAGAGAACCAAATTTTCATTATTATGTCCTTCCAGACAGCTGTTAGGGAATGAACTGTGCTGTATTCTTCACTTCTGAGCAGGTATGCAGATGATTAAAGAGACTGAGGTGAGGAGGACACATTATTGAGGAGAGAAAAGCAACAGATGGAAAGTACCAAAGCTGTTTTTCTCTGAGATGAAAACTGACAACCAAAGAGGAACCTTAGTGTCACATCACCACAAGATGACATACGTGTAATAAATGCTGAAATATTTCTTTTTACCACAGCTTCCTCATGATGTTCTTCCCTCTGTCAACAATTGTTTTAATAATTTAACAAGAGACACTAACATTTTTTATTCTGTAACATATTCTTCCCAAGGCGGATTAGCTCAATGCCACCTCTGTGCATCTCAGAGTTCCTAAAATTTCTCATCACCACAAGATGACAATAGGGTAAAATGGCGAAACAATTCTCTTTATTACATCTTCCTCGTCTTGTTGCTGACCTATTTCACAAATTTTATCATGGAGAGCAGATGGTGGAGTAAAATATCGGTTACCTCTCACTGCAGCTGTCCCAATTTTTAATACATTTTCATCCCTGTAATTGCTTACTCTCTGAAAGGCTTTGGCTGAGAAGCAATTTTTGTGAGGAACTGTAAAAAACAAAACACGTTGAGCTCCCAGTAACACATAGTACTAATGAATAAAAAAATAAATATGTTGATGTTTTATTCTTGGGCGAGTGTAACCCACAATATACTGACAAATTTAAATCTGCCTGTCATCAATAAATGGGAAAATTAATGTCTGCCTGTGATATCTTTGAAATTATATTTTCTGTAACTCTGTAACTATATTGAGTGTAGTGTTATTTTTAAGCAACAAGTGGCGCTTGTGAAGTAACTTCAAATTGGCTCAAGTATGAGGATGTGTTGAAAGCTTGCATCTATCTATCTATCTATCTATCTATCTATCATATATTTAGTCATTTATGAATAAATTGACCATAATATACCATAATATATACCATAATATAGCTCTTTAACATATAGATATGCATAATAAATACTTTACATGATTTGTCTTTTGAGTGTAACAGTAGTAGGCCTATCATAAAATATATGCTTTTTGTGTGCATGTAGATGTTTCTCCCTCAACATTGTCAAATTTGGTCATTTGACCTCTTCTCAAATCGTGTTTGACTGACAAGAGCCTCCCACCCGACCTACTTTCCAAACATAGGATACAAACTTAGGCCAAGCCCTCTGGAAAGCTTTAAACCAATGTTGCACCCAGAGGTGATTAAGGATTAAGGAACCAAATAAGGATTTTGATTAAACAGGCAAACAAGCGCTACATTATGCAACAGGTTTGCTTAAGGAATAAGCAGGAGTAGGCTATTTAATCCACATATGAAGGAATTTTAAATGAGAAAGCAATCATAAATAGTAATTATAAACATTGAAAACTTTCAAATGTTTTAAACAAGACTAGCCTACTTCAATAAAAGTTACTAAATGTTTTTTTTTTAATTAACATTCTCTAAACTGTGCAATTGTCACAACGGTTTAATGAGACATCACAACTCATATCTGCAAAATGTAATAACTCACCCAAAACATGCTTCAAAACCTAGTTCTGTGTCACAATAAAACATGAATAAAAATGTTATGTTAAAATATTCGTCAAACAACAAATCTCTAACATAAGGCAACTACATAATGCATTTTTCGAAATAAGTCTAGCTTAGATTGTTTCAGTTTAATTCATTTAGACCTGTTCAGATAAAACAAGGTTGGAAACAGGTTAACAGGTAGAAGGTTTAAATTTGGCCCGATAATGTTTCTCTGTCTTCTAACAGCTGTTCAACTTAAAACATTCTCAGAGTTGGAGTGCCATAAACAATCTAAGCAGACATTTTGTTTCAAGAACACCAAATGGCCCATATGCCTCCTCCAAGCCATTCATTGATTTATGAAGATACACCCCCAAAATAACACCTTAACTGTAGCTTTTCAAACAGTTTTCCTCCTATTGTCAATTGGCAATAGATACCACTTCACAGGTTTTTATCTATGTTGTCACATGCCAGCAGGTGGTGTGTAGCCTATACTTCTTAAAGAATGTGTCAAGTTTCTTGGTTTTCAAGACCAGCTAGGCCTATTTCCTGTATCTCACTCACACCTTTCCAGTGATTGTGATATTGTCTGCAAAGTGTCTATTTTATTAGGTTATATACGATGGATTTAACAACATCTCGACATGCTCATAATTCGGTTATTTTTTGTCTCTTTTATCTTTGTGTTCTTTAATCTTTTCCACAACATATGGAAGTGTCTGAAAGTTTACTCAAGTAGATCAGATTCTTAAAAGTAATATTCCTAAAAACTCTTCTTGTATAAGCAAATTGGACATCTAAAGCCTTTAAAAACTGCTTCACTGTTAATAGAATTTGACATAAGGCATATACACTTATACCAGTGTTGTGCCCTTCGATGATGTGCCACCATGGACATTTATTAGTAGGTTAACGTTTAAGTGTTTGCGTTTTGAGATTAAACCAAACCGGAAGAAGCCATGTGATCATTTTTTATGCCTTCGAGTTATTACAGTAACGCGGAAAACCAAAATTCCCCACAAACACGTAACGCTCGGTGACGTAGGAAGGATGGCAACAGGCGTGTTCATCGCTCCTATTGGTCACGCGTCGGCAGTTCTGCTCCCTGATTGGTCGGCACACCACAAATCTGAACTACTTAGGCTTTGTCGAGGATCCATTTTGTTGTTAGACGGAGAAAAACCAGAGAAGGAGGACGATACAATTCCGCTGTAGCCTCAGATTTGAATAAACATTCACATATCGGGAAATATTTTTTTCCATAAACAGCTACGGCTGACAGACTCGACCAAGGGAAGACGAAGGGATTATTCCATCAAAGCCTGAGGAAGTCGGTAAGTTGTTTTCTACTGAGTTAAAGACATTGGGAGTTGTCGACGGTATTGACGCCATGTTGAGTACGAGAGTCTTTGTTTTGGTCCGGGGCTAGAAAACATGACCTAATACCATTTTTCTTATCATTTGAAACTCAAGTTTTTAGTAAAACATTATAGAAATGATCTGCAATTCCGAACATACTGAAAATGTGCTTTTTTTAATCGATAACAACCGTGAAGACATTGAGCATAATAGAGGAAGATTAGATGTTATGTAATACCATATTCACAAAATATTTCTTACTATTTATTCGTTGTTTAAATATATGATTATTTAAATTACAGATTATATGCAACATTGTTTTATTGTTTGACCCGAACTTATTTTTTTACTCTTGCCATTTTCACTCTTTACACAAACAACTAGTTTATATAGGGACGTAATAATCGTGAAGAAAATAAATGTTACTAAATATGATTTAAATCGAATGCATTTAGCAAATATTTTTGGTGACATAAATGGTTTCTTTTGTTAGATTAACGGCTTCTCGAGCACCGTGCGCCGAGGTGAATTCATGTTCAGCTCGGTTACACGACAAAACAACGCTCATTGGCACATGAAAACTTCAGATCTTGCTGGACACAGATGTGCAGCGAGAAGTAGATCAACTACTTCGAGGACCTGGAGCCCGATTGGTGAAGAGAAATTAAAGAGTGAGGAGAACCACGCACTCAACTTTTCTACAACAGAGAGGTACGTAGAGGAAGCGAGTGGGGGATGGGCGGGGACGCGCTTGTTGTCTCGCGCTGCACGTAGCCCTTTGTTATTGTCAGTCTGCTACACGGGCCGTTTAGTAGTAATTTTAAGCCCGTTTTTAAAGCAATTTGCACTCTTTAAACATTGTAATTCAAAGTGTATTTATTGCCCTTTCATTAAACAAGTTCTTTGTCTTCTGATAGGTGACATCCAGTCAAAGCAGTATGGGAGGTGGCGAGAGATACAACATTCCAGATCGCCCAGCGCCCAAGAAGAGCCACCAGATTGGCAGGGGCAAGCAGAGAAGTCTAGACCAGAATGGAGTGGTGCATTCCGCCTCCTCAGGAGCCTTAGGGGTGCCCCATCACCACAGCCATCGCAGGGGTGAGAAGGGCACCAACTATTCTTGGTCTCCTGAGGCGCGGCAGGCCGCGTCTGTAGACATGAAGAATGCCTCAGTTCGTTTTGCCACACCTTATGACCAGAATTGGGAGGGTACAGTGTCCCATCTGAGCAAACTTTTGTCAGCTCAGTATGGTCAGAACTATGCTGGAGCCAAGTTTAGTGAGCCCCCATCCCCAAGTGTGCTACCCAAGCCCCCGAGCCACTGGGTGTCTCTTCCCATGGGCACTTGCGATCATCGTGAGATGATGACATTTCAGTTAAAGAGTCTCCTGAAGGTTCAGGCCTAAGAAGGTCTGTCACTGCTGCTTTCTTAAGCCAATATATGAACGAAGGCTCTGCTTTGGCCTCTCGCCCTCCTCTTAAATGCTCCAGCTGCGTAATATATTTTAAAGCTATTTTTAGATTTGCATTTTAATTAGGTGATGACCATTTGGCAGGCAGATTTTGCTCCTGATGTCCGTCACCTAAATTTTTTTAAAAAGGAAACCACTCCTAGTTATTACGTCGCTGTGGCCTTAAGGGGCGGTTGAGAACTTTTAGCGGAGCCGTATGCCATGACAAATGCTGAACTGGATGTCCTCCTTAATAACTCATTGCTCTGTTATGCTCCTGTTTTGTTTTGTTCTTTTTTTGATGGCTGTTTGTGACAGTCAGTGTGTTTTTTCTTCTCAACCATGCCTAGGAGTAGACAAAATTAACACCATTTCCTTTCTGAAATCTCGCATTGTTTTTCGCTTGCTGAGGTTTGATGCACACTCTCGGCTTGAGTTTTAATCATGCAGGGAGTGTCAGAAACCTCTTGGTGCTAAGCACAGCAGCATTTGTAGCGTTATAGTGCATACTGCATTTCCAGGTATCTATTTTTATTTTGCTTTTTGGGAAGTAAAAGCCACTCGACTTCGTTCTGCAGGGAGACCTAAGTGAACAGAATACGAAGGGGAACAAACTTAAGTGAACATAGGTCATTTGACGAACCCTTAAGCCTAATGAGGTGGCACAATGGACCTTGTGCTTTCAACACCTGTACTTTTTTTTTTTTAATGGCGCTGTGCGCATTGCACTATAGGTGTTGAAATTCACCAAGGTTCACAAGCTCTATTGCAGCGTTAAAATTTTTTTTTTTGTATCCCTTATGTTATTATAGCTTAGAAAACTGTGATTTTTTTTTAATGTTTACCAAAGCTAAGTAATCAGCAATTTTCTGTTGGAACCCCCCCTTCCTTTACCAGATCTGGTTACAAGTGCCATAAATAATCGGGTAAGGCATTAGTGTATATCAAGGTTGACAAATCATTTTTGAAATTAATTATTATTATTTTTTTTTTTCTTTGCTGTACTTTTGGAACGATTACAGAGCAAATATGCGGAGGAGGGTTATGATGTGAGAACATAGGACGGATGTTTTCTCTGGTCTCGTCTCATAACCTTGTTTGCTCTGTGATTTGTTTTGATACAAGCATTGTTTTATGGAATGTGTGTATTATGGCACGGGGGAACTGAGAAATAGGGCGCAAGTCCAGTGAGGACATGTTTACATTGTTTTATAAGAAGGCAGACGGCTGACATCTTACACACTGCCCTTTCTCACTTGTTATTCTTGCACTGCTGTTCATTTGTGTTCAAAAGTTTCAGACAATGTTGCTCTTTCAACTGTGGATATGTCATGAAGCACCCCTTCCCACTTCGTTATGAGTGCGGTGGAAACTACCTCTCTTGCAGAACGTGATGTTAATAGCCATCTTAAAGATGACAAAACAAAGCTAATGAGATTTAATGTGTGTAATAGAGCCATGTAAATAATGAAATGTATAAAATGTTGTAGCATATTGTACATTTGTGCAGGAATGTTTGAAACCTGCAGATAAAGTATTTTTTAGTAGTAACACTGAATGTAAAAGTCACGCTAAGGACGTGGCTTGTTCTAAAATGCTGAAAAATATTTTGTTAAAAAAAAAAGAGAATTTTGCCTTTAGTGCGTCAAAACCCCTGCACTGTGTGATTTGTTGCCAGTGATCTTGCACATAATATTTTTTATTTTGTATAAGGCACCGTGTAGGGGCAAGTAAAAAAAAAACATTTTGAAATTGAAAGGGACTTTTATACATTTTGTTTTTGAGTTGCCTATGCAAGTAGAAAAATAATTTTAATATTTTTGCGTTGTTATAACTCATTATTTTGCCCTTTGTCCAGAGTCCTTAAAGCAGTGTTGCATTTGCCCCAAGTCATTGGTCTTTCCTCCACGGGCCAATGTTTGAAGCCAATGATGCTGTGTTTTACCTCCAGAAATGCCAATTATATTTTAACCCTTTAAAGTAAAAAGTACATTATTTTAATGGAATGTGTAAAAGTCCTTTTCCTAAATTTGGTTATCCTGAACAATTGGCTGTGAATTTATCCCAACTTTGAAAATGTCACTTGAAATGGAAGCTGAAAGCCCTTTTGGTAAGAATTGGTATGTACTAAAAGATTGTTTAATTAGGTTGTCAAAAAAAAAAAAAAATTAAAATTCCTTCCCTCCCCCCCAGTACTGTTTGTGTGTGTTGTATTTTATTTTTTAATCTGTCTTTAGAGTTTAACATTAAGATGTAGTCTTCGTTGCTGTTTTATAGTTTAAGGGTTTTTTTTTTTTTTTACTGAATTTAGAGGAACTTTCACCTAAACCCTGCAGTGAAAACGAGTTTAATTAGTCCTACTTATATGGGAACAAATACATGTTATTTTAGTGATGTACAACTATTTGTTTTTGCCAGTAATCTTCAACATTACTGCCAGTTCGAGCAGCATGGCACATAGGACAACTGACACTTTGTGTTGGACTTTGGCCCAGAGTTTCGAAACCATTTACCGCCTGGCCCATGAAACTGATTATCTGTTCAGACTAGAACTCTGTCTGCTCATGTAGACGACAGCACCCATTGGAAACGTTTTATAAAGGTGATTTATGGTTATGACATGTCATTAACAGAATGATTTTTAAGAATTGTAGAAAATGTTTAAGTTCTTTGAAAAGATTTGAATATACTTAGATACGACTTTTTAAATGTTTATATTGCATCATTATTATTACAATATAACAAAACGGTCAGATGATTAGTGAAATATCTGTCAATAGATACTAAAGTCAGACCAAAAAATAAGAGATGGAAAAAATGACATCATAAAAATGAAATGCAAGAAATGGTTGGTGTCTAAAGTGATGTTTGCTTTAGAAAAAGAAAAAAAAAACGGTGATTACAAACGTAAAATTCGGGCTGCAGGGAAACGGGTTTGTATCAAGAACATCTAGCTCGCAGTGGCAGACAATGTCAACTTCACTATTGTAAAATTATATACATATGGCAGTGCTTACGTTTTCACTGTTGTTTACATTCTGTGGTTAGCATGCAGTATTTGATTTACCCCGATAGCAACAGGACATGAATACTAAATTACACAAAAACTGATTCAAGAAGGATAAATAAAGTTATTATACTTACTTTAAAGTATACACGTTATAAATAATCGGGAGGCAATAGTAACTAATCCCTACAGCAAGTTCAATTCAACCCTAATTTTTAACCTGTGGTTATTTCAGCAAATGTTTTAATAAATAATGTATTTTTGGGGGGGAAATAAAAGTGCGCAACGTCGAATGCAGTGGTTTCGGTTTTGTTTTCGACAGCACCATCAGCTGGCAACAAAACTACATTACTGGTTTCGATGGCGCAGACGTGACTTATTGAAGAAACAACCGTTCAATAATTTAAATTGAATTCAAACCACTTAATACAGCCTGAGTAGTGAGATTATTATTATTATTTTTTTTTTTTAGCTAAAAGCAGTAGTAGGTGTATATTACAAACTCCTCACTTTGTAGTACACATTTAAAAACACAATGTATTCAAAAAACACGTTTGCTTTATGAATGTGTTGTGTATAATTTGCGTTGTAGAACAAAACGTGAAACTCTCTTCCTGTAATATTAACCACAAATCTTATTTTACTCATAAATCGAAAATCTACCGTGAAAAAACGATTTCCGGGGTTTGCCTACAAAAAGTGACGCCAGGACTGTACGGCGCAACACGGGAACGTTTATTATGAAAAATTAACAGAAAAATAGAGTGTATGATAGAAATTTGTATATTTGATGTACTTTTTTATACAGAAAACGAAAATGTGAATCGTAAAGAACAACATATTATACATTTGTTTATTTTGTTAGGAAAATTCAATATATATAAGAAGAAGTGGGCTCAATGTAAACCAAATTTTGCACATTTTATAAATGACTTTATATGTAAATCTCTTAGAACAAACAAAAAAGCACTGAAAACATGTAATGCTCTGAAAGCATTGAACTTTATGTAATTTTCTTCCTTTTTTATTTTTTTTTTCTCTGGCAGCTAATAATGTTAATTTAATAATGTGAATATGTAATACCTCATGTACTTGTGGCATTGAATTAATAAAGCATTAAAAAAAAAAAAACTTTTATTATGAAAGAGTGACGTTTTTTTTTAGCTCGGAACTGCTCGCGCATGCGCAGAACAAAGCATTTCACCTGTCGACGACTTTTATCAAAAATGATTTCATCCGCAGAGTGTCAACGCTACCTGGACCGATGTCAACATTAACGCTGCAGTATAACAGATGGCTTTACTGAAAGCAGATATGTGATCTCGTCAGCGGCATCCGGGAAAGCGTTTATTGCTGTCAGTATACCCACCACCGACGTCGCATTTGGCCGTACATCGTTCATAACCTATAAATCCAACCATTCATCCATCTATCTATCCATACATCCACCTAAGACTAACAAAAACAGACAGCCCCTCACAGCTCAGACCTTCTCAAAAAATCGCTGACAACGGTAAGCAGCGGCAGCAGCTCACTGGAGACTATTTGCAGCTCTACTCCGAACGTACAGTAGCTTAACGTTAGCTGTTAGCGTGTGTTTATGATCGTGTTTGGATGGTTATTCTCACTGTGTGTGGGAGATATCGTACCAAGTGGAGTGATTTGGAGATATGTTTACCATGAACCACTCATTCGTCATTTTCACACTAGCTAACTGCTTTTGAGGACCTCATAGGGGCCTTCTCATCACATAATGGTCAATTGTTCCCTATCAGCTGATCATGGGAAGTGACAATCAGCCTGACAGATGCATTGATACTATGTACAATTTGTTGGATTTTTTAATGTAATTCAGTTTAGTTGAAAAGTGTGGATGATTTAAAAAGTCTTCAGTTTATGGTCTTGTTTTGGTTTTGGCTATAGTAAAACCTGTGGGATGTTACGGTGCATCTTAAAGGGACAGTTTGTCCCCAAATAGAAATTCTGTTATCATTTACACACCCTCATGTTTTCCAAACCTGTATGACTTTGTTTCGTCAATAGACCTCAAAAGGAGAATTTAAGCAGAATGACAGCCTCAGTCACCATTGATTTTTATTGTGTAAAAAATGACAGTGAATGATGACTGAGGT